AAACTATAGGCGCACCAGCACACACAAATAAAAAAACACGAACAAACATACTGCGGTAGAAAAAAAAAGATAAATATTCTATATCACATTTGATATAGGTAAGCAACATCACACGACCAAGCACCAGCACGAGTAAGAACGATTCTCATTTTATTACTTTCAGTGTAAACGGTGACTTATAACAGGTAATGTATTGACAGTTTTGCGTCAGTTGAGGCTCGTGCATCCTGTCTGACTCACGGAGAAATCAAAACTATAGGCGCACCAGCACACACAAATAAAAAAACACGAACAAACATACTGCGGTAGAAACAAAAAGATAAATATTCTATATCACATTTGATATAGGTAAGCAACATCACACGACCAAGCACCAGCACGATTCCAAATGTGACATTGATTTTATACATTTACATTTAGTCATTTAGCAGACGCTTTTATCCAAAGCGATTTACAAATGAGGACAATAAAAGCAGTCAAAACTAACAAAAGAGCAACAATATATTTATACAACAGTAGTTCAATAAACAAGTAGTTAAAATTAACTGACTTACATTTTACATGACACATTATTGACCGTTTTTGCTAACGAAAATAGTTCTAAGCAAAGCCACAGCAGAACAGTCGCGTATCTCCGAGCAACATACATGGGTGTTTCGTTATTGAATGATTCAGCATTTTTGAACGAATCAGGTGAGTCAATGATTCAATGAGCCATTCATAAAGACAGTCACTTGCTTTATTTATGAATGAATTAGCCTTTTGAACTAATTGGTTGAATCAATGACTCACTCATTAAGACTTGCCGCCACCTACTGGTGGTTTGGTTTCATATTTAAAAGTAGGCCTTCATTGCATTTTTCCAACACTTCGTATTTATATGTTAAAAAAGGGAAACATTTATTCTTATAACATTATTTATGCATTTGCAATTTTACTGTGTAAATGCATTTAAGGAACCTCTTATCTTCATTAAATAGTCTGTGTAAATACATCTAAATGGCACTTTCGATGCAGCTTCAGTGTTTCCTCTGCAGTGGAAAGATGGCGTTTGTTGATACTGATTTCATTTGAATAGTAACAACCATACAGAGTCTAATTATTCTAACTGAATCTATTGATAAAATTTAAGAATTTGACGTAAATTATGACACGTACATTTAGGAAAATATTGCCCTTTATAAAGTTAAAAAGTGTCCTAGAAATCAATTTAAGGCAAATATCACAAATATGCTGATTAAAGTAAGACCTGATAGAGCACTGATGAGACTATTGCCTCAGAATGGATTAAATTACACCAAAAAAAAAAAGTATTTCCAAAGGACAAGCACATGTCAAGGCTTAATGTCGAGCCCTGCTGTATACCAGCAGGATAAATGGGCTGGACCAAAAATAATAATAATAATACAAATTTTAAAAAAATATGATGCATAGAACCTGCGAGTCTGTGCTCAAGCCCACAGCAAATATATCAGAGGCAAACAATACTCACACCCACCTGGTGTTAAAGTTAAAGTTTGTTTTTGGAATGCAAAAACACCCACTAATCTGACACCATCTTTGCATGCTGCCATATAGATATGAGAAAAAAAGAAAACAGACAGTTTAATATGTAAATAAATGCAAGAAGAAACACTGATCACAAGTACGCAAATATTTCAGTGACCTCATTGCTGTTGATTATATTCATGGTGAACAAGAGATTTCTTCATTTCTTTGAAAGTAAAGTTGCAAAACAAAAAGTCTGTTTGTTCATGCTGAATTAATTGCAGAAAATTGTAGAGAAGATGAAAATGATAATGCTTGAGGATTACCTTGCCTTGCAAACACTGTGATTAAAATGATAGATAGAAGGCTAAACACAAGTCATTTTCATGAGTTCATACAGATAGTGAACTCTATTATTTATCAGATTACTGTGTTGAATAACCTTTCCAAGGTATCTATCACAAGCGAAATGCTTGTGTGAGAAATCCGTCAAACTAAAACATGACAGTCCAACTGCATGACCTCAGTTTAGATATGATTCTGATAGCAGATATAATGAGAAGCATGTGCTCTCCATAATGGATCGATCTCACAAGCCTTTGCAGGCAAAACCCATTTCACTCTGTTCCAGCTTTCTCCAACACTAACACTACACATAAACATGCTTCAAAAGATTTACAGTGAAAATAGACTCCATAACCCAGACATGCTTTACAACTGCATGTCATTTCAGGCTCACACAAAAACGATTGAATTTACAATGCAAAATCCCTGTTTGCTTTTTCTCAGTTCTCTTCCAAGTATTGTCTCGCGCTCATTTTGCAGACAGGCCTCAGTCTGATTTATGGTATCAGACCATATGGGGAGAGAGAGAACGACAGAGATCGAACTGAAAACCAAGAATAACATCCGTATGTGTAAGAACGGCATTGTGGGAAGCGGGTTTGGGCGAGAAGTATTAAGCTACGAAATGACTGCACTTAAAGGGTTAGGAATTATGCTTTATTCTTCTTGATATCTCCCCCTAGGTCTCACTTTAAGGGTTATATTGATGTCTGAAGGAGATTTGATAATTTCACAAGGATTAAAGTCCACAATAAATCACTTCAAGAGCTGCCAAGCCGCCCAATCAGCACCAATTAGGACTGGTCATGTGGTGTGTTCTGTCCTCTTCAATCAGCTAAAGACAGAACGAGCTTAGAGCAAGTGAGTGAGAGAGAGATGAGAAGATGATGAAATGAAGGATGTGGTTAAAACCCACATCAGAGCCAGAACATGACTGATAAATGGACTGCTTTGGCTCCCAGAACCACGTTAGTACAGAGAGAACTGGCATCAATGATGAGAGAATTTGTGTGCTTAAGCAGACTTTTGTAATATGCGTTTGTCTTTTTATCTGCACAGTTTCTTTCCATCTCTCATGTGGAAATGTACCATACAAGTAGTTCAAACGACTTGTGCACTATATTAAAAGTCTTCTGAAGCCATATGTATTTACTAGCTGCTGAGCTACAACTGGACCATGTACAAACCAAATCAGTCCAATTTGTGAAAAAATCATTCTTTTGAACATGTTCTTTTTTGAACAATCCTTTTTGTAAAGATTCCTTTTTTTTTTTTTTTTTACAAATTCTTCTAAAATGGTTCTTTTCACCAAATCTTTCTTTTGAACATGTTTTTTTTTTAAACAAGATAACTCTTTGGAACTACTAGATGTTGTTTTTTTATACTGATTCTTTTTTTTAAATAATATTCTTGAACTGGTTCTTTTTTTGAGAATAAAGTCGTAGCCATATGAGATTAAAGTTGTAATCTTTTGAGAAAAAGTTGTAGCAATATGAGATTAAAGTCATAATATTTTGAGAATAATGTCATAAATCGTAATATTTTGAGAATAAAGTCGTAGCAATATGAGATTGAAGTCAATATTTTAAGAATAAAGTCATAGCAAGGCCAGTAAATTGCATGAATAACAAAAATGTATGTGAAAATTTCACCACCTACTCCACAAAAATATGTCTGTGGCGTCCAACTTTTCATTCTTCACATATATTTAATTTAAAAAAGCAATAAAACATTCTAAAGGTTGAAGTGGGCTCCAACTCTAAGTTATTTTGTTGTCTTTTCTGAGGTAAATAACGAAGTGATTATTCACAAGCTGTTTTATTCATGGTAAAATAAATTATTGGAAATAATATTTCACATCTTCAAATCCATTCATTATTTGTAGCACAATAAGCTTCGTGCTTTGTTGCTTTTAATATAACACAGCTCAGCTTTCAAATTCTGTCAGTTGTATCACAAAATACAAATTATAAATGTGTTTTCGTCTTTATTACAAGTTATAGCACAATATAAAGGAACAGAAGGCATGAAAAAAACTATAATTTAATTAAACGAATGTCTCATTGTAATTGAAAAGATGATTGATTCACATGCCACTTAAATCGAGGCCAACACAGTGATCTGTCATGACTTTATTCTCAAAATATTTTGACTTTATTCTCGTAAACTTATTTTTTTATTTATGTAGCACTAAAATGTCATCGTATGAATCAGTATCAATCAAAATTCTTCTGAACCTCTTTTTTTCCCTTAATTCCTTAAATTCCTGGTAGTTCCTGTTTACTCTTAAAGGGTTAGTACACCCAAAAAATGCAAATTCTGTCATTAATTACTCACCTCGTGTTGTTTGAAACACGTAAGACCTTCGTTCATCTTCGGAACACAATTTAAGATAATATGAGGGCTCTCTGACCTTCCATAGACAGCAAGGTAACTCCCACGTTCAAGGTCCAGAAAAGTACCAAGATGATCGACAAAGTAGTCCGTGTGACATCAGTGGTTCAACTGTAAAGTTACGAAGCTATGAGAATACTTTTTTGCGCAAAGAAAACTAAAATAATGACTTTATTCCACATTTTCGTCTCTACTGCATCACTTGTGGACACGCGTATTCTTGTAGCTTCGTAACTTTACAGTTTACATTTTCAAATTCTTGGGTGAACTAACCCTTTAACAAATCATTCTTTTGAATCAGATCAGTTCTATACAAATCACTCTCTTGAACTGCTTCTTTTTTTGGCTAGATCATTCTTTTGTACCAGTTCCTTTTTTAACTAATATTTTTATTAACAAATTGTACTTTAAATTGGTTATTTTCTCTTTTTTATCAACAAATATATTTTGTTGCAACTGGTTCTTTTTTTTTAAACAAATCACTCTTTAACAAATCTTGTTCACGTTTTTTTAAAATAAAAACATTGCTGATATTTGGTTATAATGCAATGAAGTGAAGTATATTTTGTGCATTTTTACGTGTACCTTAAGTATCCATGCATTTTACAGCCACTGTAGACCTCTGTGTGTGCAAAAGCAGATGTACAGACACATCTGTAAGATGCGAATTGTCCATTTTTTCACATTCTTGTTTCTTTACTCCACTGAATGTCAGTTGTATGTTTTGTTTCCCATACTGTTGAGGTTACGCTTTCTGTTGGGTGTGGCGAGGATGTTTTATTAGCACATGGAGAGTCCTCCCTCTTGAAATAACTGCTAAAGTCAAACATCTGCACACACTCAGCTTGGACAACAGGCTATAAGGAAAGAAAAGGAGAGAAGAAACGAGGGAGGAGTTTAGAACAAATGAAGGGGGATTTGGAAGGAGAGCAAGAAACACAGAGCTTTGTGTTCTTAAGTTTTTACTGCAGTTCATGAACAATTTAGCCTGATAACTTTAAAGTGATTAGAGACAAACCAACCGGTTGTAAGTGGTCTGTGTTATCTATTGGTTGCTGGTGACAATTACCGGCACGTTATCAGTTTCAACCACAATCACTATAAAAATCAGTTTAGGCTGAGTTCTTGTTGTCAAGAGAGATTAAAAAGGTACAAGAGTTGTTACGCAAAGGCACATGTCTTTCTGCTTTTGCACATTTGTCCATTTCGTCATCGAGCAGCCTTGGCCTGAAGTGATTTAACCGGCCCAGACAAAATGTTGGAAAGCCAAACTGAAGTTCTGTTGCCTTTATATTTGGTATTTTGCACAAACAATAAGACTCCTTATAAAGTATATCATCAAATATTTATAGAGCAGCCATACAGAAATATAATGGTCAAGGTAAATTTCAGCACATGAATAAAGTCTTATTATGCTAACAAATGCTGCATTAATATTTAAAGATACAGTAAAAACAGTAATATTATGAAATATTACGTGAACCTTTCCCGATCCCATCCCCCCCTCTCTCTCCCACTTCGCTTCCTGTCTCACTACTATCCTATCAATAAAAGGCAAAAACGCCAAAAATAAATAAAAAAAATAATATGTTTTGTATTATCCACTTTGATTGCAATCTGTATTATCCTGTAATGGCAATACTGAATTTTCAGCAGCCATTACTCCAGTCTTCGGTGTCAAATGATCCTCCAGAAAATATGCTGATTATCAATGCTGAAAAATGTTGTGCTGCCTAATATTTTTGTGGAAACCGTGATACATTTTTTAAATAATTTTTTGCCGAATAGAAAGTTTAAATGAACAGTGTTATAAATGCATTTACTGTCAATTTTGATCAAATTAATGCACCCTTTCTAAATAAAAATATTACTTTCTTTGAAAAAAATCTTACTAACCCCAAGTTTTGTGGTAGTGTAGTTAACGCAACATGCATCATAAAGCTATTATTATTAATAGTAAAGTATATAAAAATGTTTATATACTTTTTAATAAAGTATAATATAATATAAAAATATTTTATAAAGCATATAAAAAATAGGATTATTGTGGGAGATAAATCTCAACTGCTTCAAAATTGCAGCATGTAACTATTTTTTATATTAAAGATGAGCGGCAGCAATTAGAACCCCGCTCCACGTTTACCACTGGTCAGTCAAACAAACAGTCCCGCCCCAAACTCATGATTGGTTAAGCCAACGTTACTGTGCTCAAGCAATGTTTGATAGCACTACAGAGCCAAAATTTATACACTTTTTGAGGAATCAGCCTACGAATACAGTCTCTGCACTTTAAACTGGGACAAGGATAAAAAAAAAAAAACATATTTCACCTTTAAGAGTTTGTTTAAAGTAGACTGGTTAGATCACTGTAAATGATCTACAATGATCTACAAATGAAAAGCCCCACTTTCCCAAAATATACGATACAATCAATTTAGGGATGGAACTGCCAGGAAGTAATAATGGATTCCATCTGGATGCCCTCTCACTGGATTGATCTTAATAGACTCCAGAAATAAAACCAGTACAGATGCATCACAAACGCAGTTCAAATAAAACAACCGTATCTCAATCTGCCACAGTACTTTTCCACTAAAATCAGTTTCCTCCGTGATTCTCAGTCAGGTTTTTTTTCCACATAGAAAAGTGCCCTCTGTCTGTCCATCTCTGGTTTGCAGTATGTTGTTTCAGGGTCTGTCTCCTTTTCCGTGTGTCTTGAAGTTAGCCAGAGTACAAAACCACACTAATAAAACACGGAAATTCAAACAGGTATGTGGAATTCTCACTTAAAGGGATAGTTCACCCAAAAACGAAAACTCTGTCATTAATTACTCACCTTCATGTTGTTCCAAACCTGTAAGACCTTCATTCATCTTCGCAACACAAATTAAGATATTTTTTATTAAATCCGAGAGCTTTCTGACCCTCCATAGATAGCAAAGGAACTACCACGTTCAAGGCCAAGAAATGATGCTACAAAAATATTTTAGTGCACAAAGAAAATGACTTTATTCCACAAATCTCCTCTTCTGTGACAGTTTTCGCCATATGACGCAGGAGCTGGCATTCTGAAGCTCCCAGATTTGATCAAAAATGTATTAAATTAATTTGTGTTCCGAAGATGAACAAAGGACTTATGGGTTTGGAACGACATGAGGGTGAGTAATTAATGACAGAATTTTCATTTTTGGGTGAACTAAACCTTTAAAGGGATAGTTTATCTAGAAAATATCATTTACTCATCCTTTTTAGTCATTTCAAACCTGTAAGACTTTCTTTCTTCTGTGGAACACAAAAAAAAGATATTGTGAAAAATGTCCAAAACCCCAGTATATGTTCCACAGAAGAAAGTCATTTGGAACGACATGATGACATGATGACAGAATTTTCATTTTTGGATGAACTATCCCTTTAATACCAGACAAAAGAATAACGGCATCAGTGCAACGGAATGAGCGTGGGACCGTTTCTCTGACCTGGACAAGGATCTTGAGGGTCATCTCCCACAGTGATGTCCACATTGATTTAGTTCAATGACAGGAGGTCAGATATCCACACACACTCACAAATACACACACACCAACATAAGACAGGAAGCAGGCAATAGTTGGAAAGGAAGCAGGGAGTGTTGGCCATCACACTGTGCAGAACAGGGGCTCCCTGTATTGTTTCCTGCTTTGCTTTTCCTGGCCAAAGTGACTCCAGTCTCATTCATTCTACAGGAATGCAATCCAGATTCCTGTGAGCTCCTCGGCATCTGCCTATTTTCAGATGGGAACTCAATTCTAACCTCCTGAATGTGCTTGATAGATGCATTCAGCGGCTCCAGTAATCTCCCATAATTCCACGTATTACTCAACAGCTGCTTGTCGCTGTGTTTCATTTTGGCTTGTCATTTGTTTGTTTCCTTCTTTTTTTAAGTACCCATTGATGATATCAATGTCACATTTGGCATCAGACATGAGCACTGGCCTGGTCTTGGTCAGTCCGCTCACTGCTTGTTTGAACAGGCTCTTCATTTTTGTTTGGACACACAAAGGAGGAATTTAGAGGCCATTATGCATGTGTCGTTTTAGTGTATTTATAGATTTCAAAAGCTTTTGTCATGACAGTTGTCGAGAAGATGAGCCAGTGTAAGTTATGTTGCCATTTAATAACAATTTGGGCTCAGCTGTGCTCATTAATCTGCAATTTAGCTTCACAAATTAATTTGCAGCCATTTAAAGATTAAAGGGTCTTATTATTTCACATGCGCTATTTGTTGCTGATGCTTCGATTTGTACAAACCTTTAATCCAAAGTATTAAACTTCGATATGCAAGTTATCCCACAATATTTGTGCTATGAACAGGAAAGATCAGATGTCCAGTCCTGCTCCTATGGGCCAACATCCTGCAGAGTTTAGCTCCAACCAGCAACAGCACTCTAGCCCGGAAGTTTCTAGTGAGTCTGAAGACCTGAAGTGGTTCAGGTGAGGTTAATTACGGGTCAGAAACCAATGCAAAACAGTGGCCTTACAGGAACAGGTTTGGACGCCCTGGTTCTATTGTCTGAACCAAATCACTCATCCCCACCTAACAAAGTAATTATGAATTATGAACACTGGACAGATGCACAACAGCTTAACAGAAGCGTCACTGCATGCAAACCGCAGTCTCACAGCCGCAAATTTCTCCGCCCTTCCCCACTTCCTTATTGGAGTCAGGGGAAGCTCAACACTCTCTTCAACTAGAGGTGAAAAACATCCACACAAAGCTAGAAACATGTCCAGAGTGCAGATGCTACATTAATTGAGTTCATACTTTGGCTTTTGACAGTATGGTAGAATTTGCTACTAGGACTGAGTGATGTATTGAATGCATACAATGATATAACAGTATTATAGCATGGTGATATTTACATGAACCAGTTCAAATTTTCTAACTGCCCATTTTGATGAATCTGATTCAAAGATTTGACTGCATCAATTGCTTAAAAGTTTCCCAAAATGTGTTTGTGGAAACAAACAAAAAAATATGTAGGTAAATATTGCTGTTTTTAATGTGTCTTGTTATTTTGGTACCTGTAAATAACTACAATTAAATAATAATTTTTCCTTGTATTAATTTAGTGAAATTTTATTTGTCAAAACATGCCTTTTTATCATTTTTAATCATATTTTTTACTTTATTCTACTTCCCGTTTTAAATGTTTTGAATTTAAAGATTGTTTGGTCAAATATATAAATACTTAACATTCGTAAATTAACAACATACAGTCTTTTGAATTTTCTTTGCATCAAAGAATTGTGAAAAAAATGATCAAGTTTTGGTTACAGAGCAGCACAACTGTTTTCAACATTGATAATAACAAAAAATGATTCTTGATAATAATTGAGCACCAAATCGGCATACTAGAATTATTTCTGAAGGATCGTGTGACACTGAAGACTTGTGTAAGAGATACTGAAAATTCAACTATAAAATATACAAAGGTGCAGATTTGGGTAAGCGTATGAGACCTCAAAAACATTTAAAAAATGATCGACCTCAAGCTTTGGAACAGTAGTGTATATATACACAGTATGATCAAATATCATTATATTTAGAAACAATTATTTTAGCTGCACCCAGCCTTATTACTTATGTATGAGCATATAGGGCTGAACGATTTTGGAAAATAATCTAATTGCGATTTTTTTACCAATATTGCGATTGCGATTTAATATGCAATTATTTTTTTAAAGCTCTTTATGTTCTGTATTATTCAAAAAAGACAAGCTATAAATAATTGTATAGTATGCTCAACACACTATTAGATATATTAAATATAAATGTTCTTTTCTCTAGGCCAGGCCTATACGTTATGATGAAATTAGGTGATGCATGAATTGATATGAATGACATTTTTATTTAACAACTACAATCACAGTACATTGACTGATTTGTTGAACTTCCAACCTTGTAAGCATGTAATAATTATGTTTAAATAAGCCTGGTGTAAACATTAATATGAAAGTCAGTAACAAATCACACAAACTAAAGTAGATTGCAGAAATATAAAAACAAATCTGTTGCTTTACCACACTACTTTAGACCAGTGGTTCTCAAACTTTTTTGGTCGCGCCCCCCTTTAAACCTATAAAAAAAAATCTGCCCCCTTTCCCAAATCCCCATCCCACCTCAGACTACCAAATAATTTCACTAAACATTATGAAAAATTTATACTTTTTTAATTAAAAAAACCTACAGGGAAAAAAACACCTGCATCACTTTAAACACTGAAAAATCGCATAGAGAGAATAACTTATTATTCTCTCGCTGTTATTTATTTTTTGTGGGTTTTCTAAGGCATAGGACACACACAGGCTTTCCTCCTCACCAACGACATTAAACACCGTGTCTACACCGGACGCGAGCGGCAAAATACAGTAGAAACCACTATATTCAGTGACGCTGTGTACACTGAATGCGATGCGACAAGACAAAACCCGACATAAACTGATGTAGCGTCTCGACCAATCTGACACACTAATTTTTATTTGATTTAACAAATCAATTATTCATTAGATTAACAAATCGTCACAGTCCCCTCACTCAATAAACTGGATGCCAGGATTTCTGCTGAACACCATCCCCCCCCTTGGTCACCATGACAACTAATCATGATATCACTGGTTTTATTGGTTAATTATTCATATTTCACATGAGCTGATTCGTTACACTGATGCCTTGTTCTATCGATGACGTACTGACACAAAGTTAAAATGATTTGCAACGGTCACTTTGCCGCATCCAGTGAAGAGCTGTTGCGGCGCAACGTGACAACTGTAGCATAGTGAAGCCGAGAGCAAGATATGCCTCGTCATATTTTCTGCATTTAGCTTTTGAATGACCAGCACCTGCCTGGGTCTGTGCGACTTCATCTATGGCTTTTCTCTTCCCTTTCACAAACCGATCCATCTCCCATTCTAAGTTACGTCCTTTGGCTGTTTACCGTTTTATTTCTTTTCTTTTTCTGCTGATGGCCTGCGCTCGACTTGAAGCAGCGCTGCTTAGACCGATGGGTCTGTGTCATCAAAGTACTGCGAGAGCTATAAGAGAGCGCGGACGTCTCCTTATGCTTTCTCTCGCCGTACTTTGATGTCATACACCGATCTGATCTTCAAGTCGAACACACCTCTTTCACGTGTAATCGCAGCCTCTGCGATTGAAAAATCGCGTTATTTCTTATCGCGATATTATCGCAAATGCAATTAATCGTTCAGCCCTATACTCTTAAAAGTAAAAAAATAAAGGTGCTTCAAAAGGTTCTTCAAGCGATGCCATAGAAGAACCATTTTTGGTTCCACAAAGAACCATTCAGTCAAAAGTTCTTTAAAGAACCATCTCTTTCTTACCTTTTTATAATCTGAAGAACCTTCTTTCGCCACAAAGAACCTTTTGTCAAACAGAAAGGTTCTTCAGATGTTAAAGGTTCTTTATGGAACCATTTAGACAAAAAGGTTCTTCTATGGCATCGTGAAGCACCTTTATTTTTAAGAGTGTATGAGCATTCCATGTGGAATGCTAGTAACATTGTGGCAGTTTGTGTAAACCATCCCCCCGCTTGCCCCCATGGACTGAAAAATAAACAAGGTCACAGTAGGTCAAGTGTCTGACCATTTACACACCACCCGCTGTGCCTCATGATGCCTGAACGGTGCCTAAGCCATGGCCCACGGCCACAGAGAGGATCTGTTTGTCCTCTTGTGGAGCCGTTGAGTGCAGGAACATTCACATGTTGTCTTCTGTGTTCTCACAGGCGTGGCTGAAGAAGGAGGCAGAACATACACGCTATGAGGCAATCCCTTCTCAAAACCCCAGAGACTCTGAAAGAAATGAAAAGGAGGAAGAAAAAGATGATTAGCCTTCTCAATGGTAATTCAAAACAGGTGCCTGAATGTGCTTTTGTGTGGTGCGAATGTGCACGAATGCTGTCTGTTTTAGTGTTTCATGTTATGTAAACCAAAACAACACATTCAACAAACAGGAAATAACAGGAAGCAGAAAATATCACAAACAGGAAACGTGCGCACTTGTAAGTTTTATCTCGCTGTCCAGTTGTTTATGTAAGGGTGGTGCGCCATAGTAGTGAAAGCTAGGGACTGGTGAACATAAGGTCACTGGTTTAAGCAATGAGTTATGAAATAATGTATCCCTGATTAAGACACTTAACCTCAGGTTACTCCGGGATGAAGGAGAGGACAATCTTAGCACTCAGACGTTTCCCTTTCATAGATCAGTAATATTTTATTATATTATCAACTTTGTCTCAGATGTTTCTTCTCAGATGAACAATACACTACTGGTCAAAAGTCTGCAATAATTAATTTGTGTGTGTGTGTGTGTGTGTGTGTGTATGTGTTTGAAAAAGGTCTCTTAAGGTTGCCGAAGGTGCATTTATTTGATCAAAAATACAGTAAATGCAGTAATATTGTGAAATATGTTTACAATTTAAAAGAACTCCTTTCTATTTTAATACATTTTAAAATGCAATTTATTTTTGTGTTGACAAAGCTACATTTTCAATATTACCCAAGTCTTCAGTGTCACACGATCCTTTAAAAATATTTTAATATGCTGATTTGTTGCTCAAGCAACATTTCTTATTAACAATGTTGAAAAAAAAAATTCTGTTTAATGTTTTGTTGAAACCGTTATAAACAACCATCCAAACGTGTGGGGCAAATAAGATTTAAAATATATATGTGTAGGCTATATATTTTTTACTTAATACATGCATTATGCATTAAATTGATCAATAGTGACAATAAGGACATTTATAATTATAAAAGATTTATTTTTCAAATAAATGCTGTTCCCTTTCAGTCGGTCACTCTCGACGTCACGTCGGAGGACCGACGAAATTGGGATCTCGCTTAGAGGGACCAATCTACTTCGAGTGTAAACTAAACGAGCCAATGCACATTGGCAAAAAAAAAATAAATAAATAAAAGAAAAGGCCTCTGCCTTACGCGCTACGGCGTGATTGCAAGTGCACCAGGCCAAGGCACTGAGGGAC